CACCCTGAAGAAAGGTGTTATTGTCCTCACTTTACACACGAGGACACCGAGGTCCTGACAGGTCAAGTCATGTATTCTGGGTAATGCATCATTAACCCTTACTGTGTTTCAGGGCACCGTGCTGTGTGTTTTCCGCCCTACATGACTGCATTTGCCTCTAATAACAGTCCTATGAATTAGGTACATGACTCCATATTACAGACGAGGCAACTGCTGCATAGAGCTAGCAAAGCCATCACACCAGGAATTAAAGCCAAGAGGGTTAAAACCGAAGCCACTACCCCAGCCAGTTTCATAGTTTGGTGCTGCTAAATCCATCACTACACAATCATTCGCAGCCCTACACAGACACATGGAGACACATACCACACAGGCTCTGTATTTTTTTCTGAATAGTATGGGAGATGCTTTTGTTCGAACCTTTCAAAGCCAGTGACGTGGTTAAACACCTGCCTTAGGTTATTGTGGAGACGTTGTTTTGAACCTTGTATAAGGATAACTGTGTAACTTATAGTGATCTCTCTTTAGATGAAACAAACACTTCCTTAATTAAAATCTGTGATTCTGTTCTCATATAAAGAAAGCAATAGAAAATACTAGAATGTACTAGTAATAGATTTCCTTCCCCTCATCTCTTCCCTCCAACACCAATTCTCACTTAAGAGACTCATTTCAGGATACTTTTCCTTCTTTCCCTACAGGAAACTAGGAGAGCAAAATAAAATATACCGTCTCTTTGTAGTGCATGTTTTTTGTCTTTAAAAAATATATATGTTCCCCTGGGAGTCAAAAAAGTATCCTTATTGAAATAGCTGCTGGTATGAAGAAAAAGTTACCTCAAGGAGACTTGTTTAGAAAGGTTTTCATTTTTAAATGGGGCTTAAGAGCATGGCAGTTCTCCCAGTTGTTTTACCATGAATCATCAAGAAAAGAAAGTTGGCCAAACAACATGTATGCATATATGCATAGCCCATGGACACAGACAACAATGTGGTGAAAGCTGGCGGGGCGAGGGGGGGGGGTGCGGGGGGAGGGCCGGGTGGCGGAGGATGAAGTGGAGGGGGAGCCATCTGCAATAGTGTCAACAATAAAAAAGGAAAAAAAGTTTGGATCAGGACAGTTAAAGGACAAGTTCATCCCCCTCCCCCTTGCCCCACCCCCATCACCTTGGCGCGCGCGCGCACCACACACACACACTGACAGCTTGTGTGTAAATGCCATTGACGGAAAACAGGCTCAGGGATTTATCAGACCTCCCTCAAACAAGAGACGAAGACAGTTGGCATGAACAATTTCACCCAGCAATTAGTTGCACTCCCAATTCTATACCTCCATTTATTTGTAGGCGCTAAAGGGATGATCAAGGCTGAAAATGTGTGCCTCTTTATCCTATGACCTCATTCCTTTTTCAGGCAACCTACTTCCCTGAACAATCATTCACTTTAGTGACCACACCTTTGAGCAAATCACACCCTTGAACAACAATTTACCGAAGCACCACATCCCTCCCCACAGAACAGGTACATTTTCCGATAGTGTACAGAAATCCAAGCACAGTAAGGGAGCTATCCGTCATCTTTGATCTTTGTAACAAAAGAAAAAGGAAGAAAACAATGTAACAAAGGTAAGTCCATGCTGGATAATTACTGAGATCAGAGGCCGTGTATAAACACCCATTTTCCCCTGGACTGCTTCTTTGAGATGAATTTAATTGCAAGTTTCCAATTCAAAAGAATGGTAACACATACAACGCATACATGGAGGTTCTTTCATCAAAACTTCTTGTAGTCAATAAAATAATCAATGGCCCAACCACAAAATAATATTTAAAAATGAAATATAGACATTTCAGACAGACTACGTGCTATGCATTGGTCCTCAATGTAGCCTCTCCCTAGAGAGGCAAATGGTATTTATCCAGATAATCACCGTGCTTCCTACATAATAGGCACTTGATACATATTCAATGACTAAGTGGTATTAAAAAATTAATTTGATCTATTTCTCATGCCACAGAGCTCCTCTGAACACATGGAAAATACATTGAACTTCATGAAAAGCTAAATTAATGGGATGGAAAAATACATGTCCAGAGAGTAATTCACATCAATACTGTTCATTTAAGTTTTTTAAAAAGTTGAGCCATGAAGTATTTTTAATTTTTTTTGTTTTATATAGTTTCGAGAACTACATTTATTCACAGTACTGCACTCAGTTGTAAAATGCATCCATGACCTTGAGTACACCTGTGTTTGATTTTACCTGTTCACATGAATAAACCTAGTAATTGTAATTCTACCATCGATTTAGACAATTTCACCAGCAACTGCTTTCTCTATTGAATTTTCTCTGAGGAATGCTCTATCAGTCAGGCAAAATAATAACCAAGAGAATAATAAAGTTTATGTGATCAATTAGAAACCAGAAAGCAAGCCACATTAGATCTGGAGAAATGGAAGATATGTTTACATCTGTAAACACCATTTTAGTGCACAAGAAGGCAATAGAGGAAAAACATACACTAAGAAGCCAGATATAGAAAATACTAAAGTGCTGCAAAAAGCATTTGGTTAAATCTAAAATTAAATACATAAGCTAAAATTAACATTCAGGAAGCAAAGCAGAGTGGCGTCAATTTCGGTTTCCCAAAGGGAACATATTTTACTACTGGCAATTGTATATTTGTAAAAATCTTATGAATTCTCTGAATGTCATCCAAACACCAAAATGCTAAAAACAATTTAAAAATTTAATTGAATTCAGATGACCGGCCATTTTCCTAGGTGCCATGGTCACAAATTCTGGCATCAGAATGATTGGTACAAACCAACACAAAATGTCCCTGAAACATAGCACACCAGAAAAACAAACAAAAGAATTTTGAATACTATTTACTGCTTGCTTGTGCTTGGCATGGTACAAACAAAGCCATCGTCACATCTCACCCAGCCACATCTTAACCATTTTGTTAGCATGAAGGTGCTTGCCGATCAAACCTAGGTCCTACTTTACACAAGGCAATCCCACAAGACATGGGAAGAATGGAAAACAAAACAGAATATTTTCCTAGTCACATTCTTTGTGGCAGCTGTCAAAATTTCTTGAATGCCCTTTGATCTCTAGCTCAATTTGAACTGTTGTAGTCCAATTTTCTCTCTTCTTGTTTCACTAGGGGAATGAAGCTACTTCTTGTTTTATTCTACTGAATACCTAGAATCTTGCCTCGTTGGTTTTCACCAAACCCTTCTCTTTCTTTTCAATTACAAATAACTTCAGACTTCACAACATCCTCCATTCTAGTCTCTTATCCTACTGCCTGTAGCCATGCTTTCGGTTTCTCGGGTTCTCTATGGAGAGCTACATATTCCGATAAAGATAGTCTTGCAAGGATGACTTAGACAAATACCAGGTAGAAAGAAGGACAGGCTTGTAAAAAGCTCAGCCAGCTCGGTCTTGGGATTATTAAAAAGGTCAGCTGAACTAAGGAGCATACAGTAAAACGCAGTCCTAAAAGTCGTTCTGTGGTCAATATTTATGAGTTGCCGAATTTCAGCTTTTCAATTTTTATCTATTCATCTTTCTTTTTCTAGAAAGTGGACAAGAAAAGAGGTTAACCGTTTAAATGACTATGACAGGTAAGGTGGTTTGAGCAATCATGATAATGGCAACTGTTGTTTTTGAACTTCTCATTGTTTTGGGGCTACAAACAAACGTCCATGACACCCACCTCATTGTTCATTAGCATCTCATTTGCATTATTATCACTTATACAAATTAGTATTTTTAACCTTTATCATTTTCTTCCCCTTGACTTCAATACAGGTGGAGTTTTTCTCAATTAAGAAATTACTAACAGCAAATCATGGATTTTTCTTCATGTTTTTCCCAAAAATTAAGGTAAGGATGAAAGAAAAGATTGTGGCCTTTGTAGATGTTGGGTTCTCTATATTTTTTAAATTCTTTAAAAATAGTTTTAGTCTATATTTGAGAAATGTTGCTGTATATCCTCCTTTAAATTGAAGTTAATTCACATTAGTGCAGATTGGTATCATAATGCAACATAGGATAATGTTCCAATGTTTGTATTTTTTTTCTCTTTTTTTGAGCTCTTTACAATAGAAATTGTATCTTGAAAACATAATTTCAGTTTGGACAGAAGTTCCCAGAAAGTTTCAAGACATGAAAATTTAATGTAAAGAGAGTTTAAGAATGAAAACATAGAGCTGTTAATTTTATATAATCTCACAATGTTCCTGTATAGTCATTGGCATGATTACTAGCACAGACACTTATGCTAAAATAACTCCTTTAAAGACAAAGTTATTTCATTTTAAAGGGTGTCTTAGAGTTCCACCCTTTTTAGCTTTCATATAAGCAACTGCTTACCTCTTGATTTCCTTAATCCTATATCCACTCTTTCAATATTCTTTAACCAGTACTCATAAATTATTCACCTTATTTATATAAGAGCCAATGTGTCATTTTCAGAAAATGAAACACATACGGCAATTCAAACAGGGATTTATGCCTGTCATTTACCCTAGAAAAACATACTATTTGCCGAACACAAATATTTGTTCATCACTCTATACATGTCATTGTCTCTAAGCCATCATATTTGATACAAAAAGAATTATGACTTTCTGAAACGAAGTGAATCCGTGAGACCTGATTCTACAAAAATTATTGTATTCAAGGTGAGGATTGCTTTGTGGTAGGGGCAAAAGTTGACCTCAGATCCGATATTCCAGTCAAATTCACTAAAAATGAGCCAGCCTATGCTCTAGTAGGTTATATGAAAACCATTGGAACTGGAAACAACCAAGCACAGGCACTAGCAAATGAAAGCACAGCCAAGAGGTGAAACTTAGGTTCCTGTACATCGCCAATATAGCCGTGTTCCACCGAGAGAGAACATCCTTTGTAACAGAGACCGAGAAGCAGAAAGAAAAGAAATCGGGTTCAAAGCTTCCTCTCTCCACCAGCTGTCTTTGCGGTACCTGGGAACAGTCGCTCCACACCAAATTTTGGTAGGAGGATGATGTTTTGAGAGGGGAGAGCACTTCCCGTGAGCCGATAGGGTCCAAGGCCTGAACCACCTTATTCATGGGCCCGCTGTAGGTCCTCACTCGCTCATACACTAGATTTTTCTCTGGAAGCTGCTGAGTCCCACAGCTGCTGCTGCTACCCGCCTCATTCCAATAGCTCGAACTCATCATCTTCTCGGTGGTCAGTAAGGCGCTCTCCAGATGCTCTCCCTACGGGAACAAACAGAGACAGAGAGGGAGACAGAAAGAGGTCATGAAAGGAACGGCTAGAAAGACAGACAGGCCGGCGCACGTACAAGACTTTTATCAACCACCTCTGTCTCTAGTGGTGCCAGGAAGGAATGATATTTACCTGAGCAGCAGCAGCAGGAGCAGGTCTGGCAGCTGTAGTGGAGGCAGCAAAGTATTTGAACAGGAATGGAAAGCGGAGCCACCCTGTGAGATTGCTCCAGGAAATGGTACTGACACGCCTCTGAGGGGTGGATTCACCAGACAGGTTTACCTGCCAGGAGGGGCCCCGCACTGCCTCGGAGGTAGCTGCCAGGCTCCCCAGTAGGGAAGGGAACCTGGAAGGAGCGGAAATGGGGACTTTTAGGGCCCAAGCCGGAGCGTCCAAGTCCGCGGGCTTGGAAATTCACTCTGAACAGAAATAGGCAGACAAAGACATGCTCGTACCAGAAGTTATTAGAGAACAAAAAGTTACAGGAGTGACACAGAAGTGGTTTTGACCAGGTGCTTTTGAAACTTAAAAAGGCATGACTATGATCCTTCCAGAGTCGCAGACCGAGATCAGGTATTAGCTTAGGGACACACTGATTCACAGATAAATTTACATTTTTTGGCAAGACCCAACTGATAATTGTAGTTCGGGGGGCATTATTATGGGGTCTCCTTCTGGCCACTTTCTCTAATTTATGGAGAAATTTAGCTAATTTATCTTGCTTCAAGCCTACTATGGATCTCTAACTTACATTGAAGTAGATTGGACAAAATAATTGAATAGCCATTCACACATGGAGATTGGCTTTTTTTTAAAAAATCTAACAATTCCTCAAATGCTTTGCATTTTAGCCTTTAGATTTATACTTTTGCATTTGTTTACAAGAGAAGGTACCTCTATTTTACTTGTGTCTTAGAAAACGCTCGGTTTGATGACCTGTTTTAATAGCTAGTTTGTTAAGGGTTCTGCAAGTCCTCACCTAATACAAGATTTAAATGTGCTCAGCACTGATATTTATTACTGCTTGAAATGACAATCATACTGCCGATTTACCCACCGGATCTTGCCTTGCAAGGTACTTCAGCACCACTGAACACTAGAGCACCCACTGAGGGTGTCTTCAGAAAAAGGGGTGTCTTTCTAGTGTTTAGATACACCATTGAATCTGCATTACCGTCAACATTGTAGAGAGAAGGCAAATATCTTCAAACTGGCTAGCCAGCTTTTATCTGCTGAGTAAACAAAAGGTAATGATTTACTACTTGTCACTTACTATGCCTCGGTTACTGTGCAAGGGACTTTACGTGGAGTATCTGTCATTGTTACAACCTTATGAGGTTTCAAAGGTGAGGAATTGAGGCACAGTCACAGAGAAGTTAAAAAATCTCCCCAAGTTAAACAATGAGTAAATGGTGGGTCTGAGATTTGAACATAGTGCAACTCATCTTAGAGTCTAAGCTCTTATCTACATTATACTGCTAGATAAATTTGAAAATCATATTCTGCATCTGGCCATATAATAAACCTTCTAGATGGAAAAATAAAAAAATAGTTTTAAACTACTAGCTTGTAAGTGACTTTAAAAACAATCTTTGGATATTTTACAGGGTAGAGGTGTCCAAAATGGTGAAAATTGACCTTAAAAACTCTTTAAAATAATTGGCTGTATACTTCCATTTAACTTTGTGTGTTGTGTGCAGAGCTTTGAAGTCTATTCTTTGTTTATTTTAATGCTGCTCCTCAAGAATCAATGAAAAATTAATTAGAAACACGTGACCTGCCAAACAGCCTGGCAAAATATCATATCAATAAATTGTTAATTTCATTAGTAGTAGTATTTTGAATAAGTTTTATGGGTGACCAGGGTATGTGTCACCCAGATAGCTCTGATCCTTGAAATATAAATTTTTTAAATTGTTAAGTACATTTGTCTCCATTTTGCCCCCACCCCTCTACCCACCCTACTGACCCCCACCCCCACCCTCAAATCTACCCCCTTTGGTTTTGTCCATGGGTCCGTCATACATGGTCCTTGACGACCCTTCCCCTTTCTTCCCCCGTTATCCCCGTCCCCCTCCCCTCTGGTTACTGTCAGTTTGTTCTTTATTTCAACGTCTCTGTTAAGCTGCTGAAATGTAAATTTAAAACACGCACAAACACATACACACAGTGTTCTTAATACCTGCAACTAAGAGGTGACCTCGTAGTTAAGGAGACTGAAATGAAGAATATAAATTCCCTCATCCATTAACTAACGACCATACCTTCCCCACATATTTCCTTGCTATATGGTATTTTGGAGGCAGCCAACCAGATGCTGTTGGGCAAAAATTAATGTGTGAAACTGACATCCTCATCTAATCCTTGAACCTGATCCATCACTGTTCCCCATTGCTGGGTATGAGAAAGAAGAAACTTGAAGCTCATGGAGCATATAAGAACTGAGATTAGACACTATCTAGAAGACAGACCACATGTAACCAACTGTGAAGTATATGTTGAACAACCTTATTCACCTCAGAGAGTTTTATCAATTATTCTCACCAAATTTTTGGGCTGCTTCTCTGAGAATTCATATGTGCTTGCACTGATCTGCATCACCAACTGTTTTATTTCTGCTTTCTATAGATTGTGCTAATATTCACCTACATTTATTAATAAATACATATGAATATATTTTGACTGTTTTATAATGGTACTGGCCATGTTGTCTACTTAAAAACACAACAGATTGACAGGGTGCGTGCCGACAGCTTCATAATTCATTATGTTACCCGTCTAACATCACTCAATGGGACAGTAAAAATTGATTTCCTTATTCTTAGCTCAAGACTTATTCAGAGAACCTTTAATTACATTTCTGGCATTTATTTTGTTTCACTCAGTAATACAGATATTTTGTGTTCAGTACTAAAAAACCTCATTTATTGACAATGAATTTTGTTTCCCCTTAGAACTGATATCCCTTGAGAAGTTAATTCAGTTCTAATAGATTTTGAAAATCTTTATTATTTCTCATTGTAAAGATAATTCATTCTTTAAACATTCCAATAACTGTTTTCCACAGGGGCTGCGCCAGTCTGCATTCCCACCCACAGTGCACCGGGGTTCCCTTTTCTCCCCATCCTCGCCAGCACTTGTTGTTTGTTGATTTATTAATGTAGACCATTCTGACAGGCGTGAGGTGATATCTCATTGTGGTTTTATTTTGCATTTCTCTGATGATTAGTGATGTTGAGCATCTTTTCATATGTCTATTGACCATTTGTATGTCCTCTTTGGAGAAACGTCTATTCAGGGCTTTGCCCAGTTTTTAATTGGATTGTTTGTTCTTTTGCAGTTGAGTTGTATGTGTTGTTTTTCTAAAAATATATTTTATTGATTATGCTATTAAAGCTGTCCTAATTTTTCCCTCTTTGCCCTCCTCCACCTGGTACCCCCATTCTCTCCAGCAATCCCCTCCCTTAGTTCATGTCCATGAGCCATGCATATACCGTAAGTTCTTCGGCTTCTCCATCGCTTATGCTGTCTATTCCTCCTGTCTATTTTGCACTTACCAATTTGTACTTCTTAATCTCTGCACCTTTTCCCCCATTCTCTCCCTTCCCCCTCCCAGCTGATAACCTTCCAAATGATCTCCATATCTATGATTCTGCTCCTATTCTCTTTGTTTGCTTAGTTTGTTTTTTAGATTCAGTTGTTGATACTTGTACGTTTGTTGCCATTTTAATGTTCACAGTTTTGCTTTTTCTTTTGTAGCTCCTTTTAACATTTCATATAATACTGGCTTGATGATGATGAACTCCTTTAGTTTTACCTTGTCTGGGAAGCACTTTATCTGCCCTTCTATTCTAAATGATAGCTTTGCTGGATAGAGCAATCTAGGTTGTAGGTCCTTGCTTTTCATCACTTTGACTACTCCTTGCCAGTCCCTTCTAGCCTGCAAAATTTCTTTTCAGAAATCAACTGACAGTCTTATGGGAACTCCTTTGTAGGTAACTCTCTGCTTTTCTCCTGCTGCTTTTAAGATTCTCTGCTTATCTTTAACCTTTGGCATATTATGATGCATCTTGGTGTGGTCCTCTTTGGGTCCAACTTGTTTGGGACTCTCTGCACTTCCTGGACTTGTGTGTCTATTTCCTTCAACAAGTTAGGGAAGTTTCTTTCATTATTTTTTCAAATAAGTTTTCAATTTCTTGCTCTTCTTCTTCTCCTTCTGGCACCCCTATGATTTGGATATTCGTATGCTTGGAGATGCCCCAGAAGCTCCTTATTCTTGTGTTTTTTTAAATTATTTTTTCTTCTGGCTATTCTGACTGAACACTGTCTTTCTTTCTATGTTCCAAATTGTTGATTTGAATCCCATCTTTATCCCCTCCATTGTTTGTTCCCTGTGGATTTTTTTTTTAATTTCACTTAATGTAACCTCCATTTGTCTGGGTCTTTTTTATGCTGTTGTAGGACCCAGTTCCTGATCACCAGTGGTTTGAACTCTACATCAGATAGGTTGCTTAATCTCCATTTGATTTAGGTCTTTTCTTGGAGTTTTGACCTGTTCTTTCATTTGGGCCATATTTCTTTGTCTCCCTAATTTGGCAGCCTCCTTGTGTTTGTTTCTACGTATTAGTTAGAGCTCCTTATACTCCCTGTCCTGTTGTAGAAAAGGCACCTATGAATTGTGTGGGGCAGAGCCTTAGCTAGTCACCAGGGTGAGGCAACCTGTTTCATCACTTTGTAGCTTTGTGTGGCGGAGGGCTCACATAGGGGACAATGATGCTGCCTGAGCTCTGGAAACTGTCTAAGAGGAAGCTATCTCCCTGACACTCGCCCCCTTGCCAGTCACCTCCTTTTCTACCCTTCTCACCCCATGCCACTTGTGCCCTTCCAGCTGTCGCCCAGGTGCTGAATCTCAGAGGAGGTGGGTCTGCATGAGTCCTAAGTCCATTGCTGGCTCTTCAA